GCAAGTAGGCATCGGCTATTGAACACTTCAGGATAGACATTCTGCCATAATTGGTCACGCAGATGTCGGGCCTCAAGTGCTTTTTCTTCTGAGTAACTGCAGTGAGTCTGGATTCTTTTGAACAGCGTTCTCACACAGCTTCGTTTGTGAGCCATCTGATGGTTGCTGTGAAAACTTTCAGGCTGTGTGGCGTTCGTCGGCATTCTGTAGACCCTCCTTTCTATTTTACCGTCGGGAGTTCGCATGACGATAACGTCGAGAAAGGGTAGCTGCTGATCCTTTTCCTCTTCCCTTTTGAACCGTATATCTGGTAAAATCGAATTCAGGAGATCATGGAAACTCTGCAGCGTATTTTTTTGACGATAACAAACGTTTCGTCAACGTAACGGCGCCAAAATATCGGGGGCTGTTGGGTGAAGGCAATCTATTCCAGCTCTCGCAGGACCAATTTTGCTATTAAACCAGAGATTGGAGGGCCCATCGGAGTTTCTTTGATTTGTTCATAAGTCGTTCCATCATTGGTGAAGTAGGTCTTTTGACAAATTTCGATCAGTCTCATGAGGTGATCGATTTTGAGTGGACTACTACGTGCCCGCCCAACGAGGACTCAAACAGAACCTACCTCCTGTGTGTTGCTTGCATTCGTTGATGGTTAACTGCCCCCCCCATGAAAAATTCTAGTAACAAATAGTACTTGCGAAGGCATTGAGTTACTTAGTGTATATTGTTTTAATTAAGCACACGAGTTGTATGTTGGCAATCGCCTTTTACCTTTAATAGTGAAAATATCAACATTGGAAGTCAGCAGGCAAACGTATATATATGTACGAATTCAACTGTCTGTTCAAAGACTTCGTTAGAATGGTTTGACTTTTCAAAGATACGCTATCCGACGTATAAGCAAATTTACTAAAAGAAAAATTCTACTTTGTGTGGTGAATGCGTTTTCTGTTTTACTAACCTACATCACTACCACGCTTGACAGGTCCTCCTCTTTACTGAATCCAGAACTCCATTTTAAAACAAATGTTACAACCTGAACGCAGTGTCGCCTTACTCTTCGCCACTTAAAGTCCAACCCCCGTCAAGTACTGCAGCATGGAGTCATCTACCAACACGCCCTATGTCTGAATCAACAGCAGTTTTCTCTGATCTCTGAGAAAGTGTTGCCAAACATGGTGACCTTAATATCCCCGCCTACGTGTTGTATAAGTCATGTTTAAGGTACACAGGTAACTCCTTGTCGGGCGCCTTAATCTTCAGCTGGCCCACTGACACATAATGCCAGTGTTGTTTTTTTCTCTTTCTCAAAAACCGTTGCTTTGCAATATCAACAATGACAGTGTACTTTCAAAAGAGGCGTATGCGGCAGCAAGTGGCCGCCCACACCTACGAGACGGGTCACGAGTTCAACTTCGCAGCTGCGAGGATAATTGCCCATGCAAGCAGCAAGATGGCGCGAGGACTGATTGAAGCGTGGGCCACGGATTACAACTCAGTTAACCAATGCATCAAGCTGGCGCCCTTCTATGTTGCTCTGCGTAGGTATCTTCAGACTCACGGCACTGGAGGTCCTGTGCCTCCCTCCCTACCTCCCTCCCGCCTTCCTCCCGCCCCTATGACGGATAATTGACCCATTCCCCTATACATTTTGCATGCTTTCGTGGACGGTTTTATCTCTGACGCTGGACTCTCACAAGATTTCGAAAGCTCAGACAAATAAATCTACGATTCAGTTTATCGAAACTACTTCTTCTCAATCTATGCCCATACATGGGATGCGAACCTTTGCCTCAAATCTCATAGATATATTTTTTTTGTAAAATTCATTGAAGCTTAAGATTTAAAGAAGGCGTATTTTGCTACCAAACGAGTACAGAACATAACAATTTTTCAATGTGTTCTATAAATTATTTATGCCTTTATAACGGCACTGAAAATCAATGAGTTAACATGCATACTACTTATGCAGCCATTTGCCCAAAATAAGCCTTTTGTAAACAGTCAGAAATAAGCATCTATTAACAATCGACGTCTTGACGTGACAGTAATGCCTTGAGATAAGGTCAAACGTTAATAAGCATTTAATTTATTGACTGTCAGTTTTCAGGCTAGGTCAAAAGAATATACACTAGGAGATCTCCTGAATCATTCCCTCTAGTATTCGTAGGAAACAAAATTGCAGGGGAGGTTTTGAACATAAACACAGCATTCTCAGTCTGCCCTGAGATTTACGGATCCAGTATTCCGCACCAGATGACTCCGTGTTGGCGGACGGTTACTTGCTATCGGCTGAAGAATTAGCCGATTGCGGGCTTCACATTCAGCGCCATCGCCATCTACGTGATGCCTGGGCCAGGATTCAGAGATCGCCAGCGCCATCGGAGTGGATGCGAGATTCCACCGAGTCAGCACTTACAATTTCTGAGAGTTGCCCTCAAGGTAGAAAATTACTGATATTATTACAATCCTACTTGATGCCGAGTTGCGAGTGATTATCCATCTTTCACAAATGTTGGCATTTTGTATTAAATGTTGACCATGCAGTTCTATAGAGCAGGTTTCGTTTCTAGGCTGTATTTGAAGCCACCTCTGACGAAGGTTTAGAGGCTGAATTCAGAATCTCTCGTAAATTCCGCTCCTTTCCCCTGTACATCTTCTTAATCTGCTTTTTGATGGATAACATGATCTGGTTCCAGAAATCACTTGCTTGATTTGAATGCGTCTGTTCACTTTCTCGCACAGGCATTGAGAGTACGCTGTCTTGCACATTTTAAGCCTCTGTGTACTTAGGTCTTGTATAAGGTTGACGTAATGCATCACCTTTAATATCAAAAAAGTGGTAGTCATTCGTAATTAAGTGGCAACGCAAAAAAATTACCTTATATAATGGTAGTCGTTGTCTCTACTGCATTTTAGACCACACAAACAAGGGAAAACTGGAGTGACCTTATTTGTAGAAGGTGGCTTTATATACCTGTGTATGATCCAGGGCTCCACTTTAGTATGCACTTGCGTTTATTTTTATGGAAATCTTCGTTCAATAGCCAATAGCTAGATTTAGCTTCTAATGCATTACTTGCATAACTTGCCATCCGGTTGGAGTCACTAGCGTGCTTTATTTTGACGTTATTATTATCTAACCACGACCAATACAAACCGTTCGGCGGGAGCAGGTAGAATATGGGTTTGATCATGGCAAATACTATTTGAACGAAATGTTGCCGGACTGTTTGGCGTAATGCAAAAACGCTCTTTAAAAAGAGGGAATCGAAAAAATAGTTTTGGCAGTCGGAGTGGTTTGCTTTCTTGGAGAACGGCCATATTTGCTTAAATAAATCTGTCACGATAATCATTTAGCGAAACAGGTGCTGGCTCCTCTTATCTCGCCAGCCATATTGTCCGCTGAACCAGAAAGTTTATGTGTTGGCGAAAAAAGCGGATTATATAGCGTTTCCGCTATTTGACTTCATTACTTCTAAAACGACATGCATTTACGAACAGCGGATTTCTACAATATATCGTTCCATGGCAAACTTCGATCAACCATTCCGAGTAGAGTGTGAAATCGCTTAACCAAACCGTCTTACCCTTTAGCGTTCGCAGGATTGATGCGCCTCTGTACCATACACTAACCAAGCTGTGAAGGAAGTTGATTTCTTTAGTGACCATTATAAGTCTGTTCTCAACGTAGCAATCATAAATGTTTCCTATTTGGACCTCATCCCTTTGTTTGCATTTTCTTAAGCAAACGGAATATGACATCCACAAAGCCAGGCATAAACGGTAAGCAAATTAAATCGCTGCGTTTTTACTGTGTGTTGATTGTGAAAGTAAAACGAATACTGGAGAGCGTTGAGACGGAGCCATGCAGTGCTCACAAGATTCGCCAAGTACCAACTTGAAAGCTCACGCGTAAAGATTTATGAACTGAACGGTCACGTGACCCAACGCGCTGCCGTCCTTCACACCCTGACCGAGGAAGAAAAACGAGAATTTAGCAGGTACATTGAAACCATAGAAAAAAATCGTTGGGACGCCAAGAAGTCGTCACTCCTTCAAAATGTGCACGAAATCAAACCAAAGTCGATACTTCCCAAGGATGCAGAAAGGTACGTTCATAACTATTACTATCTTATACTCGATACCACTTCAATTTAAGCGTTATCACCGCGTCCGAATTTCTCCATACCCGGACGATTGGTAAATCAATTAGAGTTAGAAACCCAGTTCGAAAATCTTTATAATCAAGCTTACGACCTCAATCCGATCCCCACAGATAATATCTAAAAATTCAAGTCAATACTAATGAATTTTAGTTACCCTAACTTGAACCGGAAACTTAAAAAATCACGGACTACTGACAAATCCACACATATGAGAGTTGAAAAAGGTACGAGGATACAAATATAGCTTTGTTACTAGACTAGGGAAAGGGACAGGCGTCTTTCTGATGAACAGATTGGACTACGTAACCAAGAAGCTGGCCGTACTATCAGATGACACAAAATGTAAGAAAGCAAACAGCGAAAAATATTGTATGGATAAAGTAGAGAAAGAGCTGGCCGGCAGCTAAAGAAGACTCCACACGGCAGGACTCCAGTAGGCACGCACATCCTCTGTTTGTTCAAAGATTTTGGACATGCGAAACTTGCCATATCATGCAATAGCGAAGCGGTTGGCAGAGAAACTAAACCCCTGCAGCAACATCTGGCTATATATAGCTATCGAGGCCCATTCCAATTTATCGACGGCGTCAAAGACATGCACTCAAACGGCATTATGATGCCCTCCCTAGACGTATCATAGCTGTTTACAAACGTCCCAGTCGCAGAGACCGACGACTATATCCGCGAATGCATGGTTGGCAAGCAGATGGAGATAGGAGCACCAACTCTTGCATTATAGGAACTATTACTAAAATGCACATTACATGTGCAGTTCCTTTTTGACAAACAGCTCTTTGGACAAATAGACGGCGTTGATTTTGGTTCACCTCTCCAGCCTTGCTTGGCTAGCATCTTCCTGGGCAAGCTGGAGAAATATCAACTCAGCAAGCAGATCCACGAGTTAAAACATTATGGGCGGTACGTTGATGAAATCTTCACCATCGCCCCAGCAGCAACTGATGTAACTGCACTACTAAATACTGTTAATCAAGCACCTCCCTCCACTAAGTTCACCTTGGAAGTGGAGAAGTCAGGTTTGCTTCCTTTTTTGAATGTCCTCATAAGTCGAAAAACCTGACGGAAGCGTCTGAAGGAGCGTTTATCAAAAGAAAACTTAGTACAGACAGTATACAAACTTTAACTGTTTTGTACCTATCCAGCATATGCGTTAATTAATCCACTGCTTATCGCAGAGTTAGAACAATCTGCTCAGAAGACACCATGAAAATGGAGCTGCAGAAATGGCAGGACTTGATTCGAGAAAACGGATATCCGCACAGATTCGCCATAAAGAATATGATGGAGAAGGAAGCAAAGCCCGCCACACCCACTGTGGAAAAAGAAACCTTATTTCTCAAAGTCCCCTTTTAAGAGGATGCAGTAACCGGACTCCCAAGCAGACTCCTCAACCAAGCCGTATCAGGAACCTTTCCAGCAGCGAAAGTTTGGGGGTTATTCTCAACCAACCCGATCGTGCTTGGCAAAGGTTAGGATACGCTTCTAGCTCAGACCACGTCTATAAGCATCTACTCATTTAATTGCTCCTGTGGAGCAGGTTATATCAGTCGCACGAGTTGGCGCTTGTCCAAAAGAATACATGAGCACCTACCTGCATGGCTGATCACATGTGAAGACAGAAGTATTAACAGCTCTTTCCTTGTCCTCATGGATGACCCCAGACATCGTGTGGATCCCGGCGAAGCCTTTAAGGTAATTTATAAGGCTATGCCAAGCTACCCAAAGTCTCTATGTCAGCGTTTGCTAGCAACAGCAAAGGCAACCGAGATCCGGTTGATGAAGCTGGTTTTCTGCGCGCAACATAACTTCCTGCAAGCCCTAGCTTGACATGGACAACGGTTACTTAACTGCTTGCATCTTCCAGCGCTTGTTCCCCCTGTCGGGATTTAACAAATTTTCATCACCTCACAATTAGCCGAGTACCACCAATCCCACCCTCTCCTTTTTTTCCCATGACTAATTTGCCTGTAACGATAAGCATAATTGCGAACATGCTACTTTTTACTCCCTCCGTATATAAATATAATGGCCCTAGGAGAATTTATCGTAAGCGACGCATGCTCGCCAGCTATTCTTCTGAATTGTCTGATGAACATTTTTGCAACCTTAATGCTTATAATTTACTGTGTCTTGGAAATCAGTTCTTGAAGGCGCTGATTAAAATTCATATTCTATATTGTTTGATTTCCCTTGTCTAATCAAGAGACTGGCATTCAAGCCGCACTGCAAAATATCTATTAGAGGTTAAACAAGTTATTTGATAATTTCTCAAGTTTTCAAGTTTTCTGCAGTTTTCCAGACATGGGGGCGTCTGATTATCAAATCTTTGGCTTGTCATTTCAAAATCACGTGCTTTTCTTTACTACTTCCTATGTCTACTATCACCGAGGCGGATGGCAACTTTGATGTGAAAAAATTTATTGAAATTTTTAGTCATTTTCCATTT